GGGGCTGGGTTCAGGGTATAGGCAGGGCTTACATTTGTTAGCCTTCTGCCTGATCGCACCTTGATAGGGTCTAGCTGTTTCAGGTGTAAGTATATATGGTCTTGGTAAGTGGGAGTGATGGTGTCGGGACTTACTTGGGAGCCTTCGAGCAACGATTATCTTATCAAAACCCGCCACGTGTAAGTCGAAATGTACACTAAACGCCCAATCAACGGGTGCAGGGACTGGGATGTCAGAGTGGGTTTCAGACCAAGTCAAGGAATGGAGTTCCACTACAAGGTCCCTAAACCCTAAACCCTAAACCGGCAACCCTAAACCCTAAACCCTAAACCCTAAACCGGCAACGAGGTTTCTGTGTGGATCTTTCCGAGCTTCTCCTCCAAGGTTATTCGGGTGTAGCGGCCTAGCGGTCTTGGGCTTTTAGGGTTTAGGGTTTAGGGTTTAGGGTTTAGGGGCTAAATCAGGATAGCAAGTTCGGGCAGCTCATGGAGTACTCCTATGTCTATTTCCCTTCACTTGGCGTAGGGCCTAATTAAACCTATCCTTTGGGAAGCCAAAATCTGTCTCTCTCCTCTGTCTCCTGCTCTGTCTCCTGCTGAATGAAAAAGTCAGATTCTAAGGACAGGGAAGCCCGATCAGGTTGCACTGGGTGCTTGATCAAGCTCCCGCGTTGTGAGGGAAGGGCTGGGACATCGAACACTTAAGCCCCAACAATACCCAGCAAGTTAAAGACCTTGCGGAAGCAGCCTGACACAGCTTATAGACTAACAGACAGTTGTTGGGTTTCTTCTCGCCTTTGCCTTCTTTTAGATGTGAGGCTTCCTTGCAAAACGCCTGTTGTAATTGGGGGCCGTTTTTTGCCAACACTGTGCGAAGTCCTTCATCCTTTTTCAATCAGGGTAGGACTGTAGTCCCAAAGACTTCCGGGTTTCTAGGGGTCTCCCTCAAGCCGCCGACTTGTCTATTTGGGGGTTTCCGAAAATAGGGGACCCTAAGATAGTACCCTTAATAATAGGATCCTTATTGTAAGGACCCCAAACAGGTACCCCTTATTTTCGGAAACTCCCATGTCGAAAAGAAGCAGGTCGGGGAGGCATTGTCTTCCAGCTCAGGGGAAAGCATCGATTCGATCACCTGCACGGCTGGTTGGTTCGGAAGCAGACCGCGCAGCGGCAAGAGCCAGCCTCAACTTAGCAGGGGAGATTTTGCGAAGAATCCAGGAAGCTAGAGCACATCACCCGTGGTAGTCCATCTATCCTGTTGCGTAGGCTGTGCCATTCTTCATCGAGCCTTCGGGGGTGTGGACCTCAAGATCCGTCTGATGCTTACAGTTGAAGGTGCGGGGGTCCATGGAGCAAGGGGTGTGCGGGGACGGCCCCCCAACTTCTAAATCTTAGGCAGTTGCTCCTTCATGTCCTTTGCCGCCCCCCTCCAGGAAGGCTGCATGAGAACGATCTTGCCAAGTATGCAATGGTGCAACTACGGGCTCGGGCCCAACCGGCCTAACCCAAAGCCGACTGAAGGGACTCTACGGTTGTGGCAGTGTCTAAAATCACCGCAGAATGGCTTTGGATTGGCTTTGACATCAGTTCTGGGGGCTCGGACATGCAGCTTCAACCCATCCAGCGCCATGTCATTTTGGCCGCAGGCACGCTCGAGGCGAGTTTGTCAAGTGATTGGCAAAAGCTTTGTGGTCTCCTGCTCTGCCACGACCATTTCCCTCTCTCCGTCGCTGCCCTAGTCGCACCATAAAGCCATGAAGCCACAATCAGAGTCCCGAAAGCTTTCTATGCTACCGGGGGCTGCTGAGCACAACCCGAGGGAACCCAGCTACGTCGAAGCAGCAGCAGGAGCCGCGATCGGCAAGGCACCTGGCACATCCTTGGGTCTCCATGATCTCCATGTTTCGCCCACGGTTAAGGTTTAGGGCTTCGGGTTTGGGGTTTTAGGGTCGGTCTCTAGAGATCCCAACCCTAAGGGCCCATGTGCCAAAATCGTATATACCTTTCCTTGGGCTTCAGAGGGGTTACATGTATGTGCTTAGGACCCTTTGGGTAAACTGTTTCGAAAAAGACGGAGCCCGAAGGACCACCACCAGCCACAGTCCCTTCAAGGGATCCCTGGAGAACCTCCGAAGGTAGGATCATAGAGTTTAGGGTTTAGGGTTTAGGGTTTAGGGTTTAGGGTTTAGGGGCCTACTACCATTCCTCCTCTTCGTCTTCTTGTTATGTAACATTAACCCTCTTGTCCTTACTACTCTGATTCTTGGTGTCATGAACTGTTGATGTTGCTTATATGCACGGCTGTTGTGATTGTGGTAATGCTGTTATGTGTTAAACAGGTTCTTTCAAGTGTTTCCTTGCTTCGCAAAGCCTTTCTACGGCTTTTGGCTTGGCTCGAGTTTTCGGGCTGTTCGTTTCACTTAGGGTTTGTCTGAACCTTGTAGGCATTTAACAACATATATCTCTTTGGTCTGTATTGGCTGCTTTTAGGGAGTCGGTTTTGAGGTCGGCTGTTGGGCTTCATCGGGTTTCTTAGTGTGGGCTCCGGGGCTTTACCTTTAAGCCCAGTACCCTGGCCCAAAAAGTTTAAAGTTTTCTTTTAGTAGAGGGTTTAATATACCAAAAAGTTTAAAGTTTACCTACTGGGCTCCTAAGTTTAGGCTTTCTGGATGTAGGATTCAGGATCGCAGTGCAGATACGGTTTTCTTTTGAACCTTCTGGCACAGAGAGCGCAGGGGGTAGCTTCCGGGAGTTTTGGCTCCCGCATGGCTGATTATCTGAAGCCTGATACACACAATGGTAAGATCCAGGTGGAGACACGTGGACAAATCCGGAACCCCTCCCATTTTCAGGTTCAGAAAGATTGTGTGCTGTGTTCTCTCACATGGTTGTAGGTTGAGGACAAGACGGTCTTGTGTTGAACTACATGAACGAGTCTTTTAGGGTATACTTTAGGAAAAATAATGACCAGATGGAATGCTAGCACCTGTTGTATACAGCAGGGCTCTGACTGCAGATTTCCTGATAACGTGCACATGTACGTGCGTAGGTCAGTCTTCTAAGATTGTCCAGGCTCTTACAACGTCCCCTTCTCGGCTTCCCCAGGTTGGCGGTGCTTCTACCCAATCGCCAGGTTGTCTCTGGGGAGGGACCGTCAGGGCCTCTGATTTGTGCTTAGGGCTTTGGGCGGATCCGAAGGAGTGGTGCCCTGCAGAAGCCGACAAGGCTAACGTAGGGGCCTTAATAATTAGAATAGGGTTTTGGGGTATATTATGCTATAGTTGTAATAAGGACCCCCCCCCAAAAAATAGTATAGGCAATTATTAAGGCCCCTATATTAAACTCTAAACCGGGAAACCTCCAAAATCAACATCCTTGGCGAGCTCTCCGACTCCAAAGCCTACCAGCTATGAAGACTAGGTACAGGCAACTACAATGAGGGCCTCTTATGTGCCTCTCCCTCCCCATTTCAGTGAACCAGGTATTTGCAAAGAGTCTCTTGACCTCTTTGATCCAATCATTAGGAAGGGCCCAGGGCTTAGGAGTTTAGGTGCATTGATTGTATAAGCAGGGTTTAGGGTTTAGGGTTTAGGGTTTAGGGTTTTAAGGATTCGGGTCTGAGCAACAAAACACCTTGGGGTTTCGGGGGTGTCACGGCGAGTGGGCCGAGAGCTTGCCACGAGCTCTTTGCCCCATGTGCTCTCAGCGACGCACGCGCCTCTACTCTCTCTTTCCCTCCTTTGCCCTTAACGGAAAGACAGCGTTAATCATGCAAAGCACTGTAGAACCCAGATCCGGCTACACATACCACAAATAACCCTCCATCATCGCAATACCAAAGCCAAACACATGACGGCCACCCGTACCGTAATCGATGTAAGAAACCCCTCTACACTTCATCCAATTACTGTTTTTATTTAGACATCTAAAATCTAAATTACAAGGATCTCCAGACGAAACCCTGTTCCTCAAACCTCCGAACCCCGAGACTTTAAACTGAACCTCAGGCCAGAAACCACAAGCCCAAGAACCAAACATTGCAGTCCCGAAGAGCCAACTCCTTCATTAGGGTTTAGGGTTTAGGGTTTCGGGATGTAGCGAAAACCATCATTGCAGGCCCCTAAACCCTAAACCCTAAAACCCTAAACCCTAAACACCCCACCGTCTCATGAAGCTTCTCTCCCGGGCAAAGGTCTAGCACGATTGGTTCGGAGCTCACTTGCTGCACCACATCCCGGCTGAGTTCAGAATGCCGGCCTGGAGTAGGTACGGGCTCAAAAGTTGATAGGGTTTAGGGTTTAGGGTTTAGGGTTTAGGGTTTAGGGGAGTTGATAGGGTTCAGGATTAGATTTAGGGTTCAGGATCCTAGTTTAGTAGGGTTCAGGATCATCTTTAGGGTTCAGGATCATAGTTTAGTAGGGTTCAGGATTCTAGGCATGAGTGTGGCTTCCAGGTTCGATCCCACTTCGAAGTCCTTCGCCTAGGCCCTAGGCGAGCCAAGTGCTTCGGTCCCCTAAACCCTAAACCCTTTTTCGCATCAGGACTTGTGCAATCGCCTGAATCCCTAAACCCTAAACCCCTAAACCCTAAACCTGGCTTTAGGTTTCGGACTCGGGGTTCTGGAGCTTGGGCCATTTGCACCGACGGCGAAGCATCAATATAAACCCAAGTGGTAGATCCTCCATATTTCTGAGGGCCCCTTGAATAGCATACCCCTGAATACTTTGATGAACATTCCCGATTGAAGCTTGGAAAGCAAAGCATTCTGCTGTCGCGCCCGGCCTGCTGCAGGACTGATTGGGCATCGGCTGTGGTGGTGGGCTTGCCCGTGCAGCCCGCATTCCGGAACTTCTGACCCACGAACCCTGGGCTTTGTTAATACTTTCTCTTTTGCCAATGACATAAGAGGGATGTACAGGAAATCATAATTACCGCCTGCATATGGCATCTTGAGTTATAGTTCCACAAAGAGAACCAAGAATCCTGACTTTGAGTTGTTCAAGACCTTCTCGAGCGTGGCGTTGTCAAAGCCCCCGTACCAGATGTCAGTGCCTCAATGCGAAGAGATACTCAGAGGATCGTGAGTAGGGTAGAGTTATAAGTGCCCTAAGCTGGGGCTCTCCTATTGATAATGCTACAAAGCACAAAGTGCGTGCTAAGTTTCCTGATCCTGGAGGTGTCAGAACTCGTTTCCCAGTCTTGACATTAGAACTCAGAGTCCACGGCAAGAGGCTGAGGAGTGCAACAGTGTCATCACATGAGTCAGCAATGCAAGAAGCCTGGTTTTAGAGTTTATGCACTTAAGATGTCGAGTTGTGGAGAATGTTATACCGTACGTATCTTCTTTGGAGATGCAAAGGTCTCACGTTCCGCGGGCTACGATATGGTCTTCACCATGAAACTCCATGCACGAAGCACGCGAAGCCACAGTCGCGGGCACCAACCCTGAACCCAAAGCCCTATCACAAAACCCTGAAGACCGAAACCCTGCGGTCATAAACTCCAAAAACCGATGCCCGAAACCCGAAAGCTTCCAAGCCACAAACTCACCAATTTCATACACCAACCAGACCAGGTTGCCAAAAACTCACCAAACTCACCCAAGACTTTAACTAATCCCAAAGCATGGACACCCCCTAGTTGGCACAAGATGACTATAAAAGTACAAAAGCCCCCCGATAGCTTCCAGATTGTTTTCAGCCCGCCTTGCTGATAAAGGCGGGATAATCTCCGGCGCCTTGCTCCGTCTCAACTTCGGCAGCTGCAGCTCCTCTGAGCTGATCGGGGTTTAGGGTTTAGGGTGCAGGGTTTAGGGTTTGAAGGGTTGAGGATCCACTGTGAGTGAGAAGAATTCTTAAGGGTTTAGCTGATTTAGTTAAGGGTGCTTGTGTGAATCTTTGAATATCTCCGATCATTTATATAAGATTGTTATGTTGCTCGAGACCGAAGCCCAGCAGCTAAATACCAAAAACCAAGAAACCCTTCACCGCACAACACCAGAGTGCCCAACTAATATGATTCTAGCGCGCTTTGCACCTCTGCCTCGGCTCTGAACCGGAAACCTTCTCGATTCTGGCACGCCGTCGGATCCAAGGAGTAGGTAAGATGTGCACCTACGGCCAGAAGACCCAGAATTAATCTTGAACCTCAACGAGAGTGCTAAGGCTAAGGTTCAGATGAAAGTCCTGTTAGGTTGATGACATCGTTTTGGGATTCGTCTTCCGGGATTTCCAGCGCTCTGCAAAGGGACTCGGCGAAATTGCAGCAATTGCGGTGGAGCAAGTCGTACTGGTCGCCACGATACTGACCCATGAGGCTTTCGATCTTGCTCTTGATCTCTTCCTCCGAAGTGAAACCTTTACCGATTGCGCTTTCCGCATACAAAAAATTCTTGTTCTTCCATATACAGTATCTCAGCAACCTTCATTTCAAATTTTCACAAAGTTAGACGAGAAACTGGAGATGCCCACGGAAATGCTCGACCTCTTCTTCATCGGGTTCGCCTTCGGTGAACACCTGGGCTCTGAAGTAACCAGGGAGAAAAAAGCATACACTTTTATTTCATAATGGTTCCTTTA